CCCCTTATCCCTCCCCTCCCCATCTACAAACACTTATTTCCATCTTTTCATTACCATACTCTTAAGTGAAATAAATAAGACACACAGTGAAAACACCAGTTTCTCTGGTGTAAAAAGTGTAAATAAGATCGAAATTGAATGATTGATAATGTGAAATAGGAAGGAAAGGGCTAAAGGGTAGGGAAAAGGAAACAAGGGACAAGCAAAAATATGAGCAAAGGAAAAAATGGAAACAACATCTTTGTAAATTGGGAAGGTTGGAGGGAGTGAAGGTAGGGCAGGGGTATGAGGAAAAAATGAGAACCAAGATCTGTCATGTAAAGGTGCAAGATCCCAATGATGAATGTAACTGTACTGTATACTTTAGAAGTACCAATAAACTCAATATGATTGTTAAAAATCATATTATTTCATGTTAACATATTTCAAAGTTATTTCTGAGCTTACTAAAATACATAATGAAAGCTTTTCCCTTAATGAATTATTATAATTGTAAGATAGCTCTGACAAGTTAGAAGTGAGGCAAAAGACTATTCTGCCATGCAAAGTTAATCCAGTTGCAGTGCTGTCATTAGTGGTGATTATTTGAAACAAGCATGATCAGTAACAAGTAGATGCTCAATTGTTAGCCAAAGTTGTGATATCAGGCCAAACAAAATATTTAAACTTTTCAGGCTATCCACTGTCCATTCCAATTACCCAGTTCTCCTATTGTAATATAAAAACAGCCGCAGACAAAATGTAGATAAAGGGATATGGCAGTATGCCAGTGAAACTTTGTGTATGGACACTGAAATTTGAACTCCACGTAATCTTTTTTCCCCATTAAGTATATTGGTGCATTTAAAACAAACAATACAGTTACATTTATCATTGGGATCTTGTGCCTTTACATGATATGTCTTGGTTCTTGTTTTTTCCCCACACCCCTGCCCTCCCTTCACCTCCATACAATCTTTATATGCCACAAATATAGTTGCTATTTTTGATCACTTAAAAATAAAAAACATTCTCAGATTGTGGATTATATGAAAACAAACTTGCTGGCAATATTTTCCTGTTAATGATCCTAAAACCTAAACAGAGAAAAGCTATTTGAATGAGTTCTGCCCTGGGATAAAAAATCCAAGTAAGGTTCAGTCAGATAGGTGAGGCTTCATACAGTGGCCTTCAGGCATAGATTTTTTTTTTCATTTTCTTTTTTTCTCTTTATTAAGTTTATTGGTACATTTCAGGTATACCATACAATTACATTTATCATGGGGATCTTGTACCTTTACATGACTTATCTTGGTTCTTATTTTTCCACATTCACCAGCCCTCTCTTCACCCCCTCCACCCTTCCCTGTTTACAAAGACACTGTTTCCATGTTTTTCTTTTTCACATATTTTTTCTTCTCCCTTTTTACCTTTGCCCTACCCCCTCCTAATTCCTCTACATTTTAGACCTTTTCTTCCTGTTACACAATATCATTAGTACATATTGATCCTTATTTAACTTTTAGTTTTGCACTCCAGAGAGACTATTCTGTCTTTACAAATGTGTGACTTATTGATTTCTCTTAAGAGTATAGATTTTCATTAGCCTCCCAGACTCACAAAGGGATAGGGCCCCATCCCTCCCTTCTACTATATATGGGACACCTACACGCACCCTTTTAGACCCCACAAGAGACTCTCCATTTTGATTTTATTCACTGATTCCCTCCTCATGTAAGAATGTTAAGAAGTAATCTACAATTTTGCCAGTTCAATTGTAAAATTAGATGAGTGGTTTTGAGGAATAACTAATACCATTTTACTATAAATACTATGCAAAAACAATGATCAAGTTTTAAGTAAAAGGATCAGAAAAATCCCACCCTGTGTACAATATTTTGGCTGAGCTATTATCTTTTGTTGATTAATCTTCTAAGGTTGTTTGGATTTTATTTAGTTTGTTCTCCATCTTTTCAAAGACTTAACTAAGAATGAAACACATTATGTTCTTTATTTCCTTTATAAATATCACCCTAACTCTTGAAGCTGATCTCCCTCGTGCATCTTCATTTCCTCTGATTTACACCTTCTGAACTTAAATTCTGATCCTTACCTCTTACCCTCCACCTTAAAATAGTATCTCTAACAAAAGCCGCTGCAAATGACACGGCTCTAAAGGCTGCTAGACTGTTCTAGAGAAGTAACGCCTTGTTAGGACTTTCACCATTACTTTGTTCTTGTCCGTGACTGGCTGTATTATTTATCCGAGTTACCTGATAATTAACACAGACCTGACCAATTAGGCTAACATTAGTGTCACCCGATGCTTGCTCTGAATCCTGGCTTTTCTGTTTAGTGCAAATTAAAGCCTACTAATTAAATAAATTTGAATGTCAATAGATAAAGCATGGCACGAATTGATACAAAAAATACTATATTCAGTGGATTTGTTAATACTTCCTTCCCAAATTGCTACGAACTCTGGAAAGAATGGGGAGGGCAACTTATTTCTCTACTCCTATGATAAAACGTTACACTAGGTTACAGTGTGAAGAAATGAAGAAGTAACCTTAGCACATATTTCTATGTAAGGGCTCCAAACCCATGGCCACTTTTTAGGCAATGGAGATACAAGCTAAACAGAGTCCAAAGGTATTCAGCCATTGCTCTTTTATTGTACATTCCCAATATTATTAGGATTGAGATAGACAGAGAACACCATAGGGACAGAGGACAAACTACTCTGTTACTTATTAAAGGTATGATTTGTGTTTTCTTCTCGGGCAGGCAGGGACTTGAAAGCTGCTTTTGCTGAAAAAAATCAAATGACTATTCGCTTCAGCTCACAAATATCCAGTGGGTAACTGAAAGCAGAACAAAGCTTGACCTTCATTTTTTATCTGTCTCCTTTATTACCTTAAAAATTTGAGTCTGATCTTTGCTCAGGTCTGCATATAAGAATGTTAGTCACTCAGCAAGTGTCTTCTAAAACCCCAAAAGACAAGGCTGATTAGATCTGAATTTGCATGTCCTGTCTCACCCTCCTTTCAGACTGAGGACACCAAGAGAAGAGATTTATAGGAACACTCAACGACCAAAGATAACCCATAAATTACCAGTTGTTGCCCTAAAACTACAGTCATTTTGGATTCCAGCAGAGCCTCCACAAAACTGAGACTGCCCCAAGCAGGAAAATTCATCTTATGAAGACAGAACTGTCCCCTCCAGCAACAGGATTTCTCCCAGAGCCATCTTGCAAAACCACAACTGAGGTAATGGTCAACCAGTCTCTACCCCATCTCAGCTAATCCATAACATGTGGTCTCCTTGGTTTGGTTAATGGGCCAGTCTGATTCTCTTCATCAGAGGCCCCCTCTTTAGCTCCTGAAGCTGAAGTCCCTCCATTATTTTCTCTTATATTATGATTCTATCTAATAAATCTGACCACTCCTCTTACTATGTGTCCTGAAATTCTTTTTCTGCAGCAGAGTTAAGAACTGGCACTGCAGGGCATGTTGAGGTCCCTATCTCCACTTTCTGGTACCTCAGCAGACCCTGATCCATGGTAGGATCAAGTGTCAGACAGCAGAAAGGATCAGAGTGCAAACTGCAACATGTGAGATAAACTAGTTTTAAAGTTTTGATTGAAATGGGCTGGGGAGGGGTGGGGAGGGCTGGGGGTTTAGCTCAGTGGTTCCACCACCTGCCTTGCAAGCACAAGGTCCCAAGTTCAATCCCCAGTACCAAAAAAAAAACGAAAAAAGTTTTGATTGAAGTGTATTCGATGTGTTTTAGATTAGACCAAGTTGAATGGACAAAAGAAAATTTTAAACTAAAAATACTTCCACACATTCCTTTACATTTTTTTTTAATAATAGAAACACCACCTTGATCTACTCCTCACTCATTTGTCTGTGGTTCATGCATCTAACTTTGGACTTTTCTCCCATCTCACCTATCCTATCACCAGCACAATACTGATTGTGTCATTCTCACCCTCAAGACTCTGCATATCCTACTGCCTAGTGATCTATTTTTAAAAATAAACTCAAGGTCATTTGCATTTGGCCCCAATTTTTCCAGAATTGTTTTCTACTATACTTGCATCCGTAGTTCAAGCTTCAGTATTCCCCAGAATATGCCCTGAACTTTTTTCCCATTCTCTTCTGTCAGCCAATAATAATAATAACTGATTATAACAGCCACCATCTTTACTATAGCCACATAATTTTCTAATCACTTCATACATATAATGTTATCTTATCCTTATAACAATAAAATAGGTATCAGTAGAGATGATACTAATAAAGTAGGGATGATCTGTATCCCCCTTTGGAGAAGTTAAGCAACTTGTCTGTGATTATCTATATTAATGGTGGGGCAAACCTATAGCATGCATGTCACAGTGGGCACACATAGCCCTCTCTGTCAGCAAGTGAGCCAAGTTATCCCAGCAGCTGAGCATCAGATATTCAGGTTTAATTGTAGTGTTAGGACTTCATGATAAATAAGTGGGTTTGGGTTGTAGTTTGTACACACAGTCTCTAAAACGTACACCATCGCTATTTATACCATATTAAGTGATGGAACTGGGCTTCAAATCCAGGCCTCTGAGTCACAGGCCCATTCCTTATCTACTTTCTTTATCACCCTTACTTTATTCCAAAGGTCCTCACCACCTACATCCCACATAACCATGCCTGGTGGCAGGGGTGATTTATCCATCTAAGGTCTACTCCAAATGCTCCCTACCTCCCGTACCTCCTGCATTGTCTTTTTTTTTTAACCACTACAAGTCTTTATTATGGGGACAGTCTACCAGGCTGTCTCTGATCAAAGCAGAGAAAGCAATACGGCAGAAGAGAGAGCTTCATTTATAGGACTGGTGTGGGGCTTATAGGAGCTGGATGGAGTTAAGTGAGGTAGTATTAAGGGATTCGAGGAGCCTGTGACATCACTAGGAGGGGCTTGTGACATCACTGGTTATTCAGAGGTAGCAAGTATCTGGTTACTTTTTAGCAGGAGAAGAGGCATCATGGGAAGAACTCTGTTCTTTGGTAGGTGGGAGATGCCATCTTTTTAGGTGAGGAGGGCATTATGGGAAGGGGAAATGGCCATTTTAAGGCAAGGGAAATCTAACATTTCAGGCTTTTGTTTTATGGTTATTGGGCAAAGGCCTCTTCTTCTGGAGCTGCTTTAAGATGACGAAGGGGTGAAGTATGAGGCTAAACCTGGATCTGGTGGGGGTAGCAGTAGGTGGGGGCTTTTTCCCTCTCTGCAGTGGCCAATACCCTGCCATGACAAATTCTGTGACTGTCTGGCTGGTAAATACCCTCATGCATACCTGCAAGAAATTTTGAAAACAGCAAAACAGACAGGGGCCTACCATGGCCAGAAGACACAGGTCACAGGCCCAATAAGGGAAGTAGCCATGGCATAATCTGTTGGAGCCAGGAGTAGTCTTGGATCATTCCTTATGTACCCCACTGTTTCTTAAGGTTTTTGATGTGTTGTTGTAATTTTTTAACCTTTGCCTTGATTATGCCTGATTGGTTAACAAAATAATACTCTTCACCTAGATCCTGGCACGTTCCCCTTGGGTCACTCTTAGCATATTGAGGGCACATCTATTTTGGAACATGACAGCTGGTAGAGGATTTGATTTTGTACTGTATTTGAGGACTTATTTAGTTTATCTGTGTCTTCCAAAGTCTCTATGGGCAGGGCCTGATAGAAATGTGTGGATGTAGAAATGCCCACTATCCCCATTGCCACCCCAGTGAGGACCCCCAGTCCCATTAAGAAGGGGACTAGAAGGGGAGCTGCCCTTTCTCTGATTGTGTTCTGTGGGAGAACTTGTTTAGACATCTGGGCTTCTGTATAAATGGTCACAGGAGGGCTAAGGAAGGATATGTAACAAAAAACATCAGACTGATTGAGGCACCGAATGTCTCTTGATTACATATGAAATATAGGCCATTGGACAGGCAGCCCAGACATTCTTGAGAGACAAAACAGGAGCAAGTAAAACAAGTAAGGTTGTTATCATTTCCCTTACATGTCAAGTTGGTTAGTTGTGTGGGGAGTGGGAGGCTCATAGAAAAGGGTCCCAAAACTGTGGCAAGGTTGTTTTTATCAGGGATTAACACATTAAACTCTAGGGGGATAGGGATTGAGTAAAGGAGCGGAGATACATAGATAAGCACATCCAGCAGTCAGAAATATTAGCTGGGAGGTAGTGGTAAGTGGTAGCAAATAGGTGTTGTAGCCTTTTTTGATATTGGGTTATCTGGTTTACCACTTGGAGATCTCTTCTTTTATAGGGAGGTGGAGTGGTGGGCCTCAAAAGTCTATCACTAGTGCCTGTTCATGGACTGCCTCTTTTGGTTATTCTTTTCTGCTGGGTGTTTAAGACCAAATTAAAGTGAGACCTGTGTTAATCAATATGAACCTTTTGCTATCTGTCGAGGTCAGTTAAGTCTCTTTAGGCATTATTTTGTACCTGTAATCACAAGTAGGTAGAGCCTCTCAGTTCCTCTATCAGTGTCAGCCATCAGGATGGGTCACAGCCTTGCTTGACCAAGTTGCTTTCAGTGAAAGCATGGGAGATTTTTTTTTCCTCTTGGTGACTCCCCTTTAGCACATGTTACATTTGTTCTCTGGTGTCCATCAATCTCCCTGCTCAGGAGATTGGGTGACTTACTAAAGGTGGAAGGTGTCGTAGAAAAAGTTCCTTGAATCTTTGATGACCTTGGAGGGCCAGGTCCAAATGTAAATTGCCTTTCTTGTTTATTCCTTTCTCCCATAGTTGTTTCTTTTCCTGAAAAGTTCCAGAATATGTCCTTCTACCTTAAAATCCAGTATGCTCAAGTTTTAGCACTTGGTGATCACAAAATAAGATAAAATATTCTTTGATACCTTATTAAAGTTATCCTGTCCCATGAATCACAGGAAGTCTATTTTTCTACAGGGTTTCTTCTATGTGCAATTTCTAGAAACCACTGTAGAATACTCACATGCTCAAAACTCTATCCTGTGACCTCTCTTTATGACTTTTATTCTGAAATCCACTGCATCAGAGCTTCCCTAGGATCCCCTCAGGACATTCTCATATTATATTGATTTGTTCCAAGAGCAGACAACAGCCCACTTTGTTGACACACAACTTCCCCAAAAACACCAGCAGAGAGGCTTATTGATTAAAAAAAAAAAAGCTAATTTTGTTAGACTTACTGCAGCTAACACAACCATGACAGAGATTTAGCAGTTTTGGAGGAAGCAATTCAGAAGAGCAAATCTACAGGATTCTGGAGTCTGGTTAAGGGTAAGTTTTTCAAGGTAAAAAAAGAATCAGTTGAAATTAGTCAAAGTTTATGACATAATACTTTGGGACTGGTGAAAATAGCAACTTTCATGTCTTAAAGTAAGTTTTGATGAGCTATTGTCTGATATGTGAAACATTTTCTAAATGAGGCATCTGTCATCCTGTACAAGCTTCCAGCAAACTCTCTGACCAGAAAAAAACTAATTGGTAAAAATTTCCTGAACCAAACAAAAGAAGTGATTTACTAGTTTACAGTTTTATTTAAGAAATTCTTAGAAATAACAGGTAACATTGACAGCGGATGTCTCAGTTCTCCATTTCCCACCACTTCCTGATTCACAGTTAAGCTCACGTTAAGTGTATAATAGGACTTTACAGAAGGATTGTAGGATACGACTGTAGGATAGCAAGAGATCTAATGCAGAACTTTCTTTTTGCTGCTAGCAGTAATCTTGGAGCTCCGAAGCCCTAAAGCGAACAGAAAATCACTGTTTGACTCCCAGAATGAAAGGCAGAATGTAATACAAGGGTAGAAACTGAAGAGAAATGGGCAAGGTAGCAGATCCAGGGGAAACCAAAGGGAAATAATGAATTTTAGGACATCAGTCATGGCCATCACAGTTTTGGGTTGTTGAAGATTTTGTTATTATTGTTTTTCTGTTTCAAGTTCTTTGATGGCATTTTCCAAGTGAACTCTCAAAGTTCCCACTCATTTATGTACTAAATCCCAACAGGGTAAAAGACGATATAGAGATTTTAGAATTCCAGTAGTACGTTATACGGCCATTCCCACACCTCATTCCATTCCCAACCTCATGCCTATACCCAATGAAGGGCTTTTAAAGCTTCACTGCAGTATCATTAATCACAGACAACAAATTTTTGCCTTACTGATGGTACTACTACTCTTTCAGAGCAAACCGTATTTTAAACTGGTTTTCTAAAAACCAGCCTAACTGCCATGCAAGTGAGAGATACAGTTTTATGGCAACCAACTTCCTTATTCTACCTCTGAAAGATTAATAAGCTCTTATTACAGCTGCCAACCTATTGACTGTCCCCCCAAACACGGTTTGGGAGAACTGTTTATGAAAGAATATCCCTTTGCTTCCTATATGGTTGAAGTTCAACACCAGCTTGCTGTCAGTTTAATTTGTATGTTTATTCCCACTGCTGTATACACACACACACACACACACACACAGGCCACACTGAGTCTGGCAGAGCAGCAGAAACAGGCATCATCTTTATCCTGTCCCTCCTCAGGGTACACACAGAGGTGAGCCGGGAGGATGATGAATGATGAAGGCTTTGGTGGGGGCAAAAAGGAATCTCTGTCTTACTTACTCCCTGGAGGCCATGCACTCAGACACCCTCGAAACCTCTCCAAATCTTAAACTCCCTCAGAGCCTCACCTTGCAGGGTGTGATGAAGGCTGCAGAGGTAATGGAAACATACTTACCACTGTCAAAACGAATCTGTTAATAGGAAAGTTTGTGGCAGGCATTCAGCAGCTCATATCTGTGGGGAAACTGGTTTCCTATTTAGAGAAAATGGAGCTGTTCTTCTTAAGCAGAGAGATGCCTATTGTGTGGGTAATTACAGGGAGGCCTGGCTGACCTGGCAATGAGGTGGTGTAGCTAAATACCTGAAGGCAGGGGAGAGCCCGCAAGGAACGCAGAGGCCCCATCTGTCAGGCTGTAATGATTGTGCTATTTGGAGGCAGAAAGGTTTGTCTGGAGCAGCTGGTCTCTCTCCAAATGACCTTTTAGCATTTCTGCTTTTGCCATTTGACAGATGTGTCAACTCAATAATTTCAAAAAGCCCCTGAGTAAATAACCAATTGTGAGCAAGGATGACCCAAAGCGATGACAAAATGGCTGCGCGCGGCACATTATGGAGCATAATACCGAGGGACGGAACCAGGAGCATTATCAAAAGGAAGAAAACATTTTAGCCTTTATCTTGGACTAAATGGCGTTCTTACCCACTCGTCCGTTGTTCTCGAAAGTGGGGAAGAACAGGGCAACGCCGGTGGGGCACAAGCGCTTTGCAGTGGCTGCGCTGCTCTTGGAGCCTGCGTCAGGCGCGGGAAATGGGC